GTCAGATTATCGAAACTTTTGTACTCAGCGATGATGTTTGTGCTTTTGCATTATTTTAATCTTTCTGCTGGAAATATGCTTATTTTTAAATTATTTGGAATATATTAAAAAATTCATAGCTTGGTTCCCTGTTTGTGTGGATCACAAAATTGGACGGTTTTTTATATAAACGCTTTTCATTGTGATAAGAAGCAAGGGAATTTGATGCTGCAAACACACAAAAAAAAATTTTTTTTGGTAGCAAATTTGGTGATAGCCTCAAAAACATCTTTCTTTTCACAGTGAACGGTCCTCTTTTTTTGCTTTGATTACTATTATAATCAAATGAATTGCAAACGAGTGCCCATGTACGACATAATCAATGATGAAGTGACCTTCGTTTCAAGATTATTGGAAAATTCATTAGTACCACAGGTGTAATTTTTGGTGATAACAAACAAAAAATTAGAAGTTGCACTAAAAACATTGGGCTTTTCGGATCAGAGCTACCCAGTGCAAAGCTTATGACAGAGCAGAACTGAAAGTTTAAAAAAATGCTTCGAATTTTAAGACATCAAATACATGCAAAATGTTTAAAAAGTACGAATTCTTCGAAACGTTGCATGCAAATTTTTTTATGAAAAACTGCATAAAAAAAGGAAGATTTTCAGGCCCTGAAATTTCTGGTTCAGCGCGATCTGACAAGCCATGAAGCTGTTAAAAGGATGGCACTGTTAGCGTTTTATTGGTGTTGCTATACGAGTATTGCATTTATGCTGGCTCAAATCGTAACGCATTATTTCTCACTCAACAATATATACTGGTTCCTTGGTATATCCGCGCTTCTAAATGCACCAGCATGCTGGGGTAGCGTGCAAAATGCTAAGCTCGACTGGTAAGATAGCTTAAATTATTTGTAAATACCTGAAATTACTTGTATAATTCATTATCTTTGTTCCTCAACCATGCAGTTTGCAATCTGTCAAGTTGGTTTGACCAATGCTGTATCGCGTAATAGCGTAATATATCAAATAGTGACTAATGGTTTTTGTTAAAAATAAATTAAAGACCAACTGCGCTACTATTGACGCAGTACCCCTGTCCCTGGTTCAAACTTTAACCGCCCTACCCTCAATGAACTTCCGATCTTTGTCCCCTGGGATATAAAAGCACTTCTTCCCATCGCCGAGATCGCCACTATTAATTTTCTACTGCGACTTCTACACACAACTACTATTCCTATTCTGGGGAGCTTCGGCTCCCCAGAGCCTCACCTACTTTTTATATCTTATTCTTTTACTTTATTATGTATAATAAACATGTGTATAGGGCGCGACGTGTTACACACACATACACACACACACACACCATAAAAACGAGACACACACTAGTCGTATAATCTACTGTTAGGGTCGCGATAGCTGCATTTCTGCTGGCCAGCTTAATAACAGTCCTAACATTCGTTTTCGTCTTCGGAAGAGATTACCCAGCGATGCTGTCGGCGGAGGCACTTGGCAAGGCTTTGGCCTTCTGATATACTCTTAGTTTATTTTGACTATTGCAACCTCGTCTCGAACGTTACGGCTTTTAGACAACGATGAGTTAATATCAATTAATCTGAATAAAATAAGTACGTAATATTGACAGCTTTAAAAAATATCGATTGGTGGGGTCGTACGTGTTACTCGTGGGTGTGGGGAGGCTGAATTTAAATTTGTGCGGTCACACTTGGATGAGGAACATGTAAATCCTGTTATAAAAATAAATGAGGCTAAAGAAATTAGGAAAATTTTAAAGATTGTGGGAGTGAGGAAAGTGGGAAGGACTAGAGAGGAGTGCAGAATTAGCGAAAAGAAAAGTGGCGAAGGAGCAGATGCAAATTTGCAATCTCTTTAGCTGCTCGTTCCATTTCCATTCATATTGTCGTAGATTTTTTATTGTCTAGACGAGGTTTTAGCGATTAGCAGCTTTTTAGCAGCTGCACGTCAATTTGGCTAGTGGGCATAGTGTAGTAATATGTAGCGCTACTATTTTTTTGAAGTTTAAGAATTTGATTCTGTTAGTAAAAGACAGTCAGCTCTTCTGCTATTCGTTATTCGTTCTTCTTTTTGATAAATTTGTATTACCATATGCGTGCTATGAATCTATTGTCACTTGCTTCCAAGTGATCCTTGAAAGAGGAGTCGTTCGGCTGCCTTTCTAGCGAATGATTGCTGCTGTGCATGCTGCCACTTCAACTACTTTCAAGAACTTCCCGCCTTTTAGAATAATTTTTGAAGAGGGTATTTTTGCGTATAACATGGAATTTAATAGCTCACTTTCTTAGTATCTTGTATTGCACATAGTTTTCACTGTTTGCTCTACGAAAGTTGCATTTCTGAGAACACATTTTGATGATCTGGTCTTTCTTCTCCTTGGTTTTTTTCTCGTTCTCGAGAGAAATACTGTTTTTTTTTAATGGCGCTAACAAATTTGAAGGCATGCAACCGACCAGTCAGCTGATATTGATTCTGCACGAGCATCAGTTGAACATG